TCACCTTCCCCCAGGCTGAAGGACATGGCTATGACATGCTAGTGCTCTCAGCTGGCACACCACTCTGGGACAGCCTTGAAGAGGCTAGTCTCAGCTCACTTTGGGGGGACCTGATACTCAGAGGCTCCAAACCAGATCAGACTTCTGAGGTAATCCCAGGGTGGTCCCTCATCCCCAGACACAAGCCAGGCTCAGGTCACCGTTCCCTCTCTCCCATAAAGCAGGACAAACTTGGACTACTCCAGGTTCTCACTAAACCTCCCAGTCTGGATACAAACCCTTTGCCTCAATCACACCAGATGTCTCAGGGACCAGATTGGGGACAAGGGAAACGTGTCTCTTGGTGGGGTTTCTGAGGAGATTCCCTATTCATCATCCTTATTTATCTCCCTAGTTTACAACAGCTATAAATTAAAATACAATTTTAGTCCAGAAACAAGGTTAAAAGAAAATATAAGAACAGTGAAAACATCTAGAGTAGGCAAATTCATAGAGACAGAAAATGGATTAGAAGTTACCAGGGGCTGGGGAGGAATTATTGCTGTACATGGGTACAGAGTTTTTGCTTGGGGTGATGAAAAATTTTGGACATAGGTAGTGATGATGCTTATGCAACATTCTGAATGTAATTAATGCCACTAAGTTGTACACTTAAAATGGTAAAAATGGCAAATTTTGCTATTTTTTTCCACAATAAAAAAAATAGGAAAATATAGAGTAAAACCAATGCTGAAGGTTTACATTTTTAAGCCCTCCTGGTTTCTATAATCAGACATACAAAGATTTCTGCCCCCCACCCCATTTTCACAATTTAACAATTCATGTAAGTTGGCAAATGATACCATGCCCTTTATTAGAGATAAAGGTACCACTTTATGGACTATTAAATTGATCAATTTTCAGGTTCAACTCATCATCATCATCTTCCTCTATCATTAGTCAGAATTCTGAATAATGATTTGCAGATATAATTTTATTTTATGATCTCTACAGCAAGAACTCAGGATCGAAGTTGGATCAGCTTTTGGAAAGCTTTATGGGAAGCATCGACTATTCCAGAAATAGGTTGTGCAGAGACAAATGGAAGGTGAAGACAGCCCTTATACTGAGTTGTAAACATAGTGAATTTTTTGTTATTTTATAGAAACTATATTGTTTTTTCGGGCTTTTTAAAAGTCTTCATGTTCTAGGAATGACTCTTAACCTGCATTGCTATAGGGGAAAAAAAAATAAGACAATTCTGTGTCTTAACTGTGCACATTGTTAATTACTGGCAGATCCAAAGATCTCTAGGGTTTACAATCACTCTGCACCTAAAGTTACTATTTGATACAGGCATGAAATGAGAATTCAGTTCCTCTCTCCCCCGCGGAAGGTTTACATTTCTGGGTCCAGACTCGTGGGCCTGCTATAGTCGGAACTCATAACCTTGGCCCTACTTTTAGCACTTGGTGCCACTTTCATCGTTAGAGAGTAGAGATTAAACCTGCCTTCTCACTTACAAATTAGCAACACAAAACTGCTGAAGAGAAAACCATCTGTTACTACTTCAAATATGGGGGAATAGTTTTCAGTTTGCATTGATACAGGATGGCTGCTCCTAAGAAAACAATGCCGTAGAGGTCATCAGATTTCCACATGTGCTGACACCCAGCGCATAGATGGGCTAGTCCAGTTGGGAAACCCTCAGGTCTGGACGACGGGATTCTAACAACGTCCCATAACATTATAGACAGTCAATTCTTTTTAAGAAATGGGAATTAAAGTGATTTCTCTAAAGTCATGATTATTGGTGTCACAAAGAATACAAAATTAAGGCCTCCTAGTTCCAATCCAGTTTTCTAATTGCTCAGAGAAAACTGTCTTTCACTGAAATGATTGATTTTTTGTTTCTAGGGGTCTCACTTACATATGTTAATATAAGTATTTATACAAATATACCTAATCTACAGAAACTGAAATTAGAGTGACCCAGCTCAGACCTGAGACAAAGAAGTGAGAGCCAGCAGGGCCTGGGGTGGTGACCCTACTGGGACTCATGATGTTCATTTTGAGGTGATTATTGGTGGGGGGGCTGAGGAGGCAAGGGGGGCTCTCCTGAAGCGAACCGTGAACACCTGGCCAGCGCTCATGGGCACACTCTTCAAAGCCCCGAAACTCAGGTCACCTGCTTTACTCTTGGGCCACTAGAGACACTGTTAAAGCTTATTAATAAGGGCTTTGTTAATTCAAATTTTTTAATACACCCTTGAAAAATGTCTAGCCTCTACAGTCACTTCATATGCAAGTTTATCCTTAAACCATCAACTGAAAAGAAAGTAACTTCCTCCACAGATTAACTGTATAAATAAGGCAAAGTGTTTAGCTTCTTTAAGAAAAACAACATTATTTTCTAAAATACTAACCCTGTCAGAGAAACAGAGGCTGTTGAGGCCGGTGATTTGATATATTAATTACAAACCCTCCCATCTACTTCTTTAAAGCTGGAATTCTATTAGTCAATAGCTGGATGGCCAGGTTTCAGTTATTAAATGATCTGAGATTTTACAAGTTCTATAATTCATACTTTTCATTACACCAGACAGGCCTAACCTAATAAGTCCAAGTAAATGAAGTTTTATTATACCTTTTAAAATGGGAGTCCATTTTCCTACGCACACATTACCTGGTCTATTAATTTCCCAAATGGCACCTGCGCGCAAGTCAGTGCTCCTGACGGCTGTAGAGTCAGAAAAGATGGAGAGATGGGGCCCCGTGGAGGCAGAGTCCCGCTCTAGCGCCACCATTCAGAGGTGTCCCCAGGGCTCCTGACTCAGAAACAAGCTTTTCTCAGCTACTTAGAACTGGTGAGGCTCAGGGGACGGCCGCGTGTTTATCCAAACCCACAAGGGCCTGATTTAAAAGCAAGAACACCAATTTATTAATTTACAATGGGAGATGGGCCTGGCTCAGCGATCAGGGCACGGTGTTCTAACGCAGGGGACAGCCCCCACAGGGACATGTCCACCCAAGGGACCAAATTAAAGATCAGAAGGCTGCTGGGTTAGCAGAGATAGAAAGCAAAGGGAGCCAGAGTTCCTCAAGAGAAACTTCCATCAAGCTATGGGAGCCTCGTTAGGGAGGATGTGCTACTACTCGGCAGGCACAGCCTCCTGAAGCAGCAGCACCTGAGGTGGAGAATCAGAGCAGTGCCGGGTAAACACACGGACACGCTGCTAATCTAATGTCCCTGAATTGTAGAAGGGGCGCAGCCTTCACTCCTCCATTTATGCCCATTTTCGCACAGGGCGCACTTTCTTCAGGTACCCTCCAGTGTAGGTTGTACCCTGGCCACTTGTCTCCTATGAGTTATACGTAGAAGGAAAATCGTAGTCATTATTTGCTGGACGTTAGCAGTTTCACGTGCCCTCATTCCAGAATTCCAGGGGGCACCTGACCTGGGGAAAGTGCGTAAAATTGCAAAACAGCACAATTAGACTGAACTCTGGTGGAATCATGACCCGGCCTGCCTCAGTCTGGTCAGGATGCAACCTGGGAAGCAACATCCTACCCGGTTGGAGTCATGAAGGCTATAAACTCCATGCACACAGGAAGTAGTGGGACATCGACACAGCAGCAAGGGTCTCGAGTTAACACTTTATAATATGTGATGGGTGAATGTGGTTCAGTTCATGGAGAGACTTGTTTTTATTATTACGGTGGTAAAATACACGCCACATGAGATTTACCATCTTAACCATTTTTAAAATGTACCGTTCAGTGGCATTAAGTACATTCACCTTATTGTGCAACCATCACCACCATCCATCCAACTGCAGAACTCTTTTCATCTTGTAAAAGTGAAAATTGTCCCCATTAAACAATGACTCCCTTAATTCCACTCTCCCCCTAGCCCCTGGCAACCACCATTCTACTTTCTGTCTCTAGGTACCTCATATATGTGGAATCATACGGTATTTGTGTTTTTGAAACTGGCATATTTCACTTATCCTAATGTCCTCAAGGTCTGTCCGTGTTGTAGCATGTGTCAGAATTAGTTTAAGGTTGAATAATATTCCATCGTATGAATATACTAATTTTGTTTATCCATTCATCCTTCGATGGACGCTTGGGTTTCTTCCACCTTTTGGCTGTTGTCAGTAATGCTGCTATGAACATAGATACACAAATACCTATTCAATCCCTGTGTTCAGTTCTTTGGGGTATGCAGAAGCAGAATAGCTAGATCAGACGGCAAGTCTACATCCTTGCCAACACTTGTTATTTTCTTTTGGGCTTTTTTTTTTAATAGTAGCCATCCTGATGGGTGTGAGACAGATTTGGGGGAACCTTTTAAATACATTCCAAATGACTCACGTGCCAAAATTCTAAGTTAGGGCTTTAGGATCCTAGGCTTCAAGGAGATGCACTCACATAGCCTACATCACTGCGGCTCATGACCCCTGGCAGGTGGGAGGCATTAATTCCATGTAGCAGGACAGTGAACTGAAACCCTGAATGGCTAAGCTTCTTGTCTAAAGGAGCAGTGGGGCCAGGAGCAGGCCCCACGCTATGGCCGGCGCTGTTCCACACTCAGCAGTACAACCTCTTGAGGACGGGGGCAGTGCAAAGAAAGGCGGGAAAATCTCTGGGACTGAAATGACGCTAAATAGAAACCCACCCAGCAGAACACCACCTCAAGGGACCCGCAGGAAAGCCAAACTTCTGGAAGGCTGAGTTCTGGCCCATGAGGCTGACCATGCCTGATCTACTGCCAGTTTCCCTGGCACTGCCCGGCATGACCCTGACGGGCAGTCCTCTGAGTTCCATCATGGTCACCAAGACCAAGCAAAGGTACAGGCAGGTCCAGAGGGCTGACTCAGTATAGCTCGTCTGTGGGGACGATTGCCCCAGAGGAAGTGTGGGGGGTTAAAGAGTTAGAGCCAGCTTTAGCCTGGCTGGTGAGGACCCAAACGACAGCTCACAGATGCGTTTCTGGCACGAAAGGGCGAGGACAGTACCTGCAGTTGGAGCCAAACTCTTGGCAGTTTCCTCAGACAATCCAAGGTATTCTCTGACGAGCTGACTCAGCTGTTGGTACGCAGCGTCCAGGTCATCTGAGGTAAACGACAGAGTGCGCTTTAAAGCGACAGTCACATCAAAATACTGCCAATTTGCAACTGCTGGTGGTAGTGATTTTTTTAGCTACATCTGATTTTATGGATATTGTGGTAGGCAGAGTTCTAAGATGACGCCACCGCCCACATGGACAGGACCTGGGAGCCACCTGGAGGATGGAGGGCCACCCCTGGCAGAGAGCCAACAAGGAAACAGGGACCTTGATCTTATGACCACAAGAAACCACGTTCTGCCAATAATAACAATATACTTCAAAGTGGATTTTTCCCCCGTGACTTCACACTTCAAAAAGTAAACTTTGGGGCCAGCCAAGTGGTGCGTTGGTTAAGAGCTGGCTTGGGACGCCAGAGGGCCCCGGTTCGGATCCCACATATGAGGGCCAGTGACACTGCCCTCCACAGCTAAGATGCTGAACAACAGCTCAACCTGGAGCTGGGCTGCCGTGAGTCGCCTGCGACGGCGAAGGCTGCAGCCCCTGTGGCAGTGGGTTGCCATGGGCTACCGTGTGTAGCCAGCAGCCAGTGTGAGTGGCCAGCAGCCGCTGTGAGCGGCCGTCCAGAAGCCGGCAACTGATCTATCTCGCCCGGGAAGAGCACAATGATGGTGCCAACTTGGGCCAGTGAAGCGACGTCCTCCACAACTAGACTGAAGAACAAAACGACAGCAACTTGTCTGTTCCCCTTTTCCAATTCCCCAGCACTGGTCCCATCCCAATTCCCCAATAAAAATCTTTAAAAAAAAAAAAAAGTAAACTTTGCTGACAGTCACTAACCTGCATTGATTACTGCGTCAAAATATCCTGGAAATGTTTGATTAATTTCAACATAAAGGTCCACCCTGGAGACAGCAAATTCAATCTCCACACGACTGAATAATCCTTTTCTCCGCAAATATCCCTCGTAATTTTTCTTGTTCATGGGTACCACCAGGATATATCGAGGCTCAAAATAGGAATTTTTCAAACTCCTTACACCCTTTCAAGAAAAGATTAATATATGAGAAATGGACACATGATTGAGAAATCATTTTGGAGCTGTCTGACAACAGAAGGTATAACAACTGGTATTATGCTGAAGAATTTATCTGTATAATTAGCTATTATTTTCCTATAAATATCTCAAGGTTGGATTACTTCTCTGTGTTCATCAAATACCAAATGACAACCACTTAGTGTTTGATAAATCAGTTAGTATTGAAATATAAGAATTTGTTCTACCTAGTACCCTCTAACTAATCATTCTAATGAACATGACTGTCAAAAACAGAAAATTACTAGATACCAATGCATACACTCACAACAGTACTGCACCTTTATTATGGAAAAATGATTTCAATTTCTCCATCTCCAAGGGCATCCTTGCAGCATCAGGAAACAGAGGTCTTACCAGAGAGAAAAGACTCCTCTGTTACCCCTTTGTCATCTCCTTGGGACACTTCCTGTTCCTAAATCAGCCACCTGATTGGCTGGTTTCTATTATAGCTCACATCCTGCGCCCAGAGCAGGAGGAGAAGGTCAAGCTCATGATACCCTGACACCAGGAGCTCACAGTGGGAAGCAGTGGCAGGTCTGGAGGGCTGGGTCATGAGTGCAGGTCTCTGGCTACTCTAGGCTCCGTGCAAACCCCTCAAGCTCTGCAAGCACCAGTTTCCTCGTGGGCGAAAATGAGTTATTCCAAATGGAGGACTAGACAGTTTCTTTCAGCGCAATCCTATCATCAATAGTTTAACTCTATGTTCAAAGCCTTTGTTTTAAAAATTCAGAGGAAGCAATACAGGCTCTTTTTAAAACCAATTTCTAAAAGAGTCAATAACAAAAGGAGTTATTTCGCTGCGGACCATCAAGGGGAATAAAGCCCGATTTATGGACTCATCCTCTTGGAAATGAGTAGAAGCTCTGAGGGAGAAACAGAGTAAAACAGGGGCCAGCACTCAGGGAACAGCTAAACTGGAAACAGGAGCACACAGGGAGGTGGACAGTTTCTGCACTCAAAGATGCAGAATTTCTGTTTCTTCTTGTCCAAGGAAGACGTTTTTGGGAAAAGGCCTTTTTTTTTTTTTGCTTATTTTCCTTAAAGGTGCAAAACCAATCAAATGCAGAAAGGTAAGAATTGCAGGATTTCTAGTTAGGCAAGGTAAAGAGCCGGAAGGAATGTGACCAGTTTCACTGAAGTCAGGGAATGCTTAACACCGTACAAGGAGCCAAAAAGGAATCTGTTTTCTGCTGTGAAGTATGGAGGGAAAAGGTCTTAAGAAAGATTTATTTAGTCCATAGTAAAGGAATATAAGATGTGCCCAGATTTGATCTTCTTAAGTTTGGAATAATGGGGTCCTTTTTACCATAATTTGTTTTCTGACTACAAAAGTGTTATACTGTTCAGTGAAGGTAACTTGAAAAAAAAACCAACCGTCTTTGAAGATTCATATATTTAGTAAAGCCATGTATTGTTTAAAACAAATAAGTGGGATGTTCATGCTTTAATTTTGGATCTTCATCTTGGAGAAACTTTTGTATGATCGAATACAGAGGATCGCTGGGGGGAAACGGGGTATTGGGACAGAGAGAAAAATTTCCTGAAATCTGCAAGTCTAAGATGCTAAAAGAATGCAAAGTGAACAACTGGAGTCAAATGCCACCACAGCCCACACATCTCTCATGAAGGAAGGAAGGGACAAGGTCAACTGCACGGAGCTGCCATCATCCTGAGGGACAGGGAACCAGTTCCACAACCTGTTAAGAATCGGGCCTCAACTAATATCACTTTATATAAACAGAGACCAGGCTCTACAAAGAGAAAGGATAATTTAGTGAGGAACTAGCTTAGGAAATAAATCTTGAATGGTAGTTCTACTCATAATAAATGGTGGTTTCTTGTCTTATAATCTAATTTCTGTCATTTAATTTTTCATGTGTCTTGCCTCCCACATACTAATTATAAATTTAAAACCTCACACTTTTGTATGCATTTCCCTTGTGCCTAGCAGTGTGCTACCTGCACACTGAAGCTCCCTCCACAACCCCAAAGAGATATGCATACACAGAGGGTGCCAAAAAAATGGATACACATTTTAAGAAAGGAAAAAACTGAATTAAAATTACGCTGATAGTAACCACTTTGAGCACCTCTTGTAATTGCAGAAGACAAACATGACTTATATTCTCGTTGTTCTCGGTATATATTGAGTGTTACAATTTTAATACAGGCTTTTCCTTTCTTAACATGTGTATACATTTTTTGGCACCCTCTGTACACACACACACACACACACACACACACACACACAGACACACATTAAAAATAAGTTGATTGAAGGGCCGGCCGAGTGGCTCAGTTGGTTAAGAGCTCGCTCAAGAGTTTGAGCTCTGAGCAACAGCGGTTCAATTCCTGGTCCGAGCTGAGCAGCCGCTGAGCTGCCAACAGGTGGCAGGATGGCTCAGCTTAAAAGTAAAACAAAACAAAAATAAGTTGATTGAATGAAAAACACTTACTTCTATTTCCATATGAACACAGCTTGCTAAACCATCTCTTGCGATACCTTCTATGGTGTCCCTATTTAATCCGTAGCTGTGATTACCATAATTAAATGTTAGAATGAATTTCCCCTGAAATTTGAGAAGTACAAAGATTTTCATATAACAGCTGCCATAATGAAATTTAATATATAAAGAAAATTATTCGATGTCTTACTTTTATATGATTCCATAAAACTTACCCATGTTGACAATTATGTAAGAATGATAATGGGGCTATGAACGTTCATATCAAACTATGATAGAGAAATTTATTCAGAATTCTCAGCTGGCAAAAAATTAGGTTTCGGAAAGAATCTGCTGATAAAATGTTAGACCAGAGTGAAGGCAGGGAAGCTATGGTGGAACAGATCATTTTGCTTACTCACTTCCTGCCAAGCCTGCACCGTAAACCTTCATTATTGAGAGAGCAAAACTAATAGTGTGCCCTTTGCCTCAGCCATTTCGGCTATGCCAGCACACCAGGTAGGCCAGAAAAGCTTCCCTCCTCAAAAGCCTTGCACTCCCAGATAAGCCTGAAGGCCATGAATTACAGGCACATTCTAAAACCTTTGCATTCCGAGATAAGCCATGAAAAACAGACCCATCCTGTTTTTCCTTATAAACATAGCTTTTTATGGAAACTGCCTGTGGAACTGTGGGCGCCGTAGTCATTTGAAGCATAAACACTGCCTTCTGTCTGTGCTCTGGACGCCCAGTTTTTCCCAAGCTGTACACCCTTGCAACAAAAATGTCAGTAAAAATGCGATTCTCAAAATTGTCTGACTTTTTCTTTGACAATATTATGATTATGAAACCACTAGCTCTAATCTAAGTTGGAAGGCTGAAAACAATGGAAGGAATAAAAAACGTGGATAACCTTGGCCACTCTGCCTCTTCATATGCATGATTTTGAAATAAATAATAGAGTGAAGCTCCTGAGGCTGAATCCATCGAATGGCAGCATTCTCAATAAGAACAGTACAGATAGGAGTCTTTTGTGCTACCCTGTGCCTCCTGAACCCACAGGTCCTGGAGATCTGTGGGAGTGGGGGTTGGCCATCTGTCAGGGGGGCAGTGTTGGAAGGCCAGGAGACACAGGGTATTTCTCAGGATGGGATGGATCTCTGGGGCAGTGAGGAGGGGAGAAGGTGTCTGCTGTACATGATGAGGAAAATCCACAGTCCACCCCCCTCATAATCAAAATAAGTTTATATCATGCATTCTAGAAGTTGAAAACTCAATAATAAGTAACCTTCATATTTCACTCAAAGTCATACCCTCTATATTCTGTGGAACAAATACTGCAACTCCTTTTCTTTTAATATACCAGGGGTGCCAAAAAAAGTATACACATTTTAGGAGATGTTATCTATACTCAAGCAGTAGTTCGCTGTCATCAGTTGTCCAGAGTCATCTGGACACTGATGGTAGCCACTTTGAGCACCTCTTGTAATTGCAGAAGTCAAACGTGACTTGTATTCATCTTTTGTTATTGGTATATAGTGAATATTACAATTAATACAGTTTTTTTCTTTCTTAAAATGTGCATACATTTTTTTGCACCCTCTGTGTTATATATTATATCTATACAGATAGTTACCAGAATCTTCTGTCAGGTACGTATTTTATCGTGTTTA